GCGCATTCTCTGTCATCCTTGCTCGCTGATATTACGACTTATCTAACTTCAGCTTGGTAATCAGTTGCCTGTTCGTGACTTTTTCCAACTATACGCATCTTGTTTTCTTTGTGGAACCAAAAGATCGGTGCACGCCCATTTCTTATTCAATATATATCTATATGTGAAAAGGTCTGGGCCAGATACGTCGACGACGCGTTCGCTGTAAAAAAGAGGAGCGGGGTGAAGACTTTAAAGCAATTGTTGAAACCAATCTTTCCCGACATTCAGTTTAATATGGCGGACGAATTCAACAATCCGTTGCCCTTTTTGGACGTAAAATTTGTGAAATTGACAGACAGGAAGATAAAGATAACAGTTTACCGTAAGGCAACTAATAATATACGCATACTTCCTTTTCAAAGCAACCACCCTGTTGGTCATAAACGCTGTTCTGTCAGAACTCTCTTTCAATGTGTTCAAACAAAATGTAGCGATGACACTGGAAGGCCAATCGAATCCTTCATAAGCAACTGCTTAAAAAAACCTCATTTTGGACGATCGAGTGGAGAAAGGCCTAAGTTCTGTCTCTCAGTACCCTATGTGAAGAAGGTATCAGAGGCAACAGCGAGAATCCTGAAACCTTTTAGGATTGCCTTGGCTCATAGGCCAGAATGCCCTATCAGAGAGCAGATCATCAACCCTAAAGACCCGCTACCAGCAATATAACAGTCTGTGGTGGTCTCCAGTATACCATGCCCAAATTGCAATGCGAGGTATGCTGCTGAAACGGGCAAACGCCTCGCTTCAAGATTGTACGAACACTAACTTGCAATCAAGCACAGAGGAAAAGCTGTCTTTGGTCTACGGCCACATACGAAAACTAAACCACGATTTCGGCTTTGATAAAATGAGGGTTATTGGTCGAGCCAATTTGAAGAGAGCTGACTAATGCTCGAAAGTTGGTCCTCGACTGGCACACGCAACCGAGCTACATCCCGCCTACCAGGCTCTGCGTACAAGGCTCCGATCAGTCCGGATAGGACCAGTAAGGCAAGCTACCACACGGGACGAGAGTCAACCCTGACGGAAAAGAGCGGAGTTGGATGCCAGAGGTCATGTGACCAAGGCTGAACACTGTCTCACCGATGCGTCCGCGAAGCTGAATGCTGTTAGCATGAACAGCAACGACCGATCAGTCCATCGGCTGACGTGGTAGAGGCCAACCGCCACGTTGATTTGACCACAATTATGCCGACCCCAAAGGGACCAAATGCCACACATGCCTGTCAGCAGTCAGCCCCCCGGAAGGTCTAAGCCAGTCAGCGGCAAACAGGCAGGCCAGAGTTCGTGCATCAGGTACGGCTATAATAAGAGGCAAGCTACAAGACTGAACAAATCAAAATCGGCAGGAGCAACAAGCACGCTACTATGTTGATGGAAACTACGAAGTTTCCGAAACGTCAGTTCGAATACAATATGGTCCATGAATTAGTCCCCCCTTCTTCTCCAGTTCTACTCTACACATATGCCGTATATGACCTATCTCATGAAATATGATATCGGAAAATGATACGAGGATTTCCGGACGTCCGTAACGTCGTGCATTTTGTTCACTCATCCACTTCTTTCAATAAACTGTCCCTTTTGTGCAGAAATGGTGTTCGTGTAATTATATCAAGTGATAGATCGGTACATTTTAGCGAAAATGGATGTCGAAATACATTCGCGCAATTTCCTATTCTAGTACGTCTTAGACTCCGGTTACGGAGTTGAGGGACTTTTTCATTAAAAGGATATCACTTTGTCCGCAAGTGTTACTAAGCAGATTTTGTCGGATTTGAAAATTTATTTTATGTCCGATGCTAACCCCGGTAATCAGCTCGCAAACACAAAGGTTATTTTAAGAAAAAAGAAGTTTAATACATTCCTAGCACTCAAATTAGCATACCTCTGCGACTTGGTGCCCTAAAGTGCAGTAATAACGCAGATAGGGATTCGTTCATTTAACTGTGATGCATTTGCTTTACCGTATGGAAAATGCTACCTGTTGTCGCATAAATGACCACCACTAATTGGTCATTTCCAGTTCTGGACATATGTAGCACAACATGTCGCGTAGTTTAGTTTCTGTGCGTACCTTATTTGGAAGTAGAACGAGCAAATCGTTAATAATTTCAGCAAAATATCAGTATTTATATGGACGATCTGCTGTGCATTCATCACCGAAGAACGGCGTCTAACAGTAAATAAAAGCACTGGAAATGGCTGCCATGTATAGAAAAAAAACATTGTCTTGCGTTTAAGGTCGATAAATATTAGTATTGTTTAGAAAGGTGAAAGAAACGGTCAAAAGTGTCAAATTTTTACTTGGCCTCACCGTACAAAAATGCAAATTACACAGACATCCGACAACGGAGTGCTTATTAAAGCACTTCATGAAGCGATAGCTTACTTAGGTTAGTTTTGCTAGATTTAAGGTGGTTACGCTCAAAGTGTAGGATGACCTCTGAATACACCTCTTTGAGATAAACTGATGTGTGAAGTGATCCATCGGTTATTCGATGTACAAGAACATCCACGAATGGATCTTGACCAAAAAACTCTGCTTCAAAAGTAAACGCGATTCCTGGAAATATAGGGTTAGTGATGGTAAAGAGCAGGTTCAACTGATGTTTATTGACGATGACAAAACGACATCTACATATCATAGCCATACGTGAGGAATGTATCTGAAGTAGTCGAAAGACAAGTAAAAAGTACCAGATACACGTAGCACATCAGCCGGCAACTACCTTACGTACACAGATTCTACACCCTTAAGACAGGGTCAGCTACGTCGAAAGAAAACGTGTTGTCTTCAAAATCCCATGTTCTATTTGTGATGCCGTCTATTGTGGCCAAACTGGTAAATTTGTCTCAATCCGTATACATGAACATCAGTTTGCGGTAAAGAGACACGTCCATCTATCCCAGGTGGTCATGCACACACTGGGCACCAATTAGCATAGGAAGACACTCGCATTGTTAGCGCCTGCCCAATAAGAAAGGGTTGAAAAATCCTGGAGACAATGCACCCAGATGAGGCATGCATCAACCGGCATATCGATTTAGATGCCACATACTCAAACAATCCCGAGAAGACTGTAACCAATCATAGAATCCCTTGTCGGACTCGGTCTAGACGTTAATTGTTTTTGCGCGCCCATTGTCTGAAGACGAGCTGGGGAACCAGTCTCGAAAATTTACACAATAAATTTAACTGTTTCCCAAATAATTCCATCTTCCTACGTATATCCCTTTGGATGTCTGTTTTCCAATTTATATGTATATATGTTTATTCAATGTGAGCTTCTACCGTCCAACTTTGTTGGCATGTCAGCGTGCTTTATGGCCTGACCGTGGTCAGCCAACGGACATTTCAGTAGTTGATGTTCGTGTGAGTTAATTTCTGTCCCGTTGTCGCGGCGAAGAAGTAGTGGCCGCACATGAGGTCACGTGACCTCCCGACGACTCCTATTTTATTTTTCCCCGGCATCACCTGTAGGCCACGTGCGACTTAACTCGACTGCCATATTGTCTTGTGTATTCTGAGTCAGATGTTGTACACTGCACCTGGTAGGCGGAATGTGTGTTTATTTCTCTGCAAATGTACTGGTCGAGGACCAGCTGTGGAGCATCAGTTTTCGCATCCACTTATTGTCCTGGCCGATTACCCACACTTCCTCAAAGCTTCAACTGCGGTTCTGCTCTTAGGTATGATCACAGACAGCTTATCCTTACGGTCAACTGCAAGCTAGTCTTCATACAATCTTGTGCGAATACGTTCGCCTGTTTCACAAAACACCTCGCACTAAAGTTTTGGCACGGCATGCTGAGGCTGCGAGAGAGTATTTGGAATTCGTGGCTTGTCTGATTGCTGACCTCGGATTATGGAGTAATAGTCCAAGCGCATTCACATCACCAAGCCCCAACACATGTGTCAAAATCTTCCTTTACGTTTAAAGACCTGATTTGCGACTAAAAGGGGACAATTATGGACTCGTTTCTGTCTAAGTTGTTTGTGGAAATGGTTTTACGAAGACTCGAGCGGCTGAAATTCAACTCTTACCTGCAATATTTCTGGGCCAGACACGTTGACGACATCGTCGTCATCATCAACCGGAGAGAAGCGCAGATTTTAAAGGCATCGCTGAATTTAAACTTTCCCGACATCTAGTTTGCTATGGAAGGAGGGATCAAGATCAATTGACCTTTCTAGACGTTCAAGTGTCAAATCTGGCCGACGAAAAGATTAGGACAACGGTCAACTTTAACTCGGCGCATCGTTCACTTTAAAAGCAGCCACCCTGTTGGCCACAAACGCGGTTATATTACAACTGTATGCAAAAAACGTCTTCAAAGGCGTTAACTGCCTCATTGCACCACTCGAAGATGGAGTTTCACACAGACCGGAGGCAACCATCAGGGACCACGTCATGAGGCGAAAGGTTCACTACCACGACAGCAATCTTTCAGTTTAGCTCACCGAACTTGAAACACACCGCTTGTGCGTCCGTCCGACCTTTAATCCCCCTGTGGCCATCTAGGCTGCGAAAAAGGCCATCTGAGGAGGTATGAAAATCTGCACCTCGGGTGGGCTTAACGTGTCCCATGCACACGTCAATGAAACTATTCTACTAGCACCTGGCCCCTGTTCACTTATCCGTAAATGCCAGATGTTGCAGTCGTTTTACAGCAAGAGATTTTGTTATTAACTTAATACGCCTTGGTGGAAAACTTGCGCGTAGCACTCTCTAGGCGGAATGGAGATCACGGTTGCGTGTGCCAATTGACGGCAATTTGTCCAGTATAATTTTGGCCGTCATAAATGGGTTCGGTCAACGATCTTAGTCGCCTCAAAGACGAAACTGTTGTGCGCATGTGTGTGTAGGCGATGCAGATCCCCGAGCATTTGTTGCGGTAGACGTCCATCAGCATGGCAGAGGACATAAGACGGTCACTTTCTGAATCAACGGCGGATGTACTTCCAAGCGCGCGTATCCACAACCACCGTTCACAAACTATTCTTCGCCGACGACTGCGCCCTGAACACCACCTCGGAGAAGGATATGCAACGGAGCATGGACCTCTTCTCCGTCGCCTGCGAGAACTTCGGTCTGGTCATCAACACGCAGAATACGGTGGTCATGCACCAACCGCCAACCACCCCAGCCACTCCTCCTAAAGCGCCGCAAATCACTATAAACGGAACCCAACCGCAATTGGTGGAGACCTTTCCGTACCTGGGCAACACCCTCTCCTCTAATGCCAAAATTGATGACGAAGTCGCTCGCAGGATCTCCAAAGCCAGTCAAGTCTTCGGTCGCCTCCAACCGAGCACGAAAGTGAAGATGTACAAGGCCATCATCCTGTCGATGCTGTTGTACGGAGCGGAGACTTGGACGGTGTACACAAAGCAAGCACGCCGTCTGAACCACTTCCACCTCAGTTGTCTTCTTCGCATTCTGAGGCTGAACTGGCAGGATCGAATCCCCGACACAGAATCTACATCATGCTGAGACAAGCGCAACTGCGCTGGAGCGGCCACCTGGTGTGCATGGACGACGAGCGACTACTTAAACGACTCATCTACGGAGACGTCGCGACGGGTTTTCGCCGTCAAGGAGGACTAATTCGCCGATACGAGGATACCCTGAAGTCCTCCCTGAAGCGTCTGCAACTTAACCCGACCACCTGGGAAGACGTCGCGCGCGATCGACTGACCTGGAGGAGGACAGTGAAGACAGGCGCTGCGATCTACGAAGCCAACCGCATTGCCGCTGCCAAAGTGAAACGCGAAGCACGCAAATCACAGCTGCGCCCAGTAGGCAACGCCGACGCACAACCGCTTCCGACGTGCCCTTAATGTCAACGGACACGAATCGCACTTATTGAACACATCCGGATCAGCTGCACCTCCCATACCGCAACAACCGTCGTCCATCCGCCCGCCTCGTCCTTGTCCTCTCTGCCGCCAACTAACTCTCTCAATCCTTCTAAACCACAACTTCCATCTCATCCTCCTCCTAGTACTCCTTCTTCTCCTGCTCCTGCTCCTCCTCCTTCTCCTCCTCCTCCTCCTCCTCCTCCGCTTCTTCATCCTTCTCCTCCCTTTACGCCGGCTCCTCTTCCTCATGCTGCACTGCCCCATTGACGGCTGCTCTGGCGGCTGTCACTCGCATCAACACCGCTCCAATCTCTTACACAAAAGCAGGCACCACCCATCCAATATCCGAATCCAGAAGTGAGGACCAGGTCCATGCTGCCCCCACTGCGATCGCACCTTCACCTCTCGCATCGGCCTCGTCGGTTACTTGCGAATCCATCGCACAGAGACTGGCGAACCAGTGCCTGGTGCACTAACCTATGTCCACCAAGCTTGACTCCTTTGCCCACATTGTCCTCGCATTTTCACGCATCACATGGGCCTATTCGTCCACGTGCGAATCCATGACGACCTGCGGTAGACAACCGCCGGCTACACCACCCCATAACGTCCTTTCGCCCTGCCTCCATTACCACCACCACCCCACCACATATCAACACTCACCCACCGCAAGCAGTCAACTGCCACCTCCCACGCAAATGGGAAGTGTGCTTCTCGACTCAGTCCTCATGCGGCTTCGGCTGTACGGGTGACTTGAGTCTGAGACTATCCCGACGCGTAAAGAGTCGTGGATAGGAAGGATGCCGATTGACGCCCGCTTTCGTACCACGCAATATCAGTTTTCCAAACGTCCTTTTACTGAAATGCTGAAATAGTGTTGTACACTGCTGCTAGTTTTTCTTTTGATAGCGACGAGTATTTTGGGTTCAGACTTGGTTACTCCATTTTAGACTCATAGTTAAGAGCCACGTTAATAGAAAACGTCCAGACAATGGTTTTTAATGCAGAAACCAGTGCAGATTGTGGTCCGCCAGCAGGTGGCAGTATAATGCTGCCACCGACAGAATGACACAAATAAGGCAGAGAGCAAATAACTGATGAGGTGCCTCACGAATGCCAAAATTAGCAGCCTACCTATTGGAAAAGCTGCGCGGAATTTTGATTGGTTCATTGTCGTGGGGCCCGGCAAGTGGCCAAGCAGTATTTTCTGACTATGGGCCGGAGTCAGCGTTACCTTAACTGATCAAGAAGCCTGGGATGTAGCTATTGGCGGACTCATGTTCATTTTACATGTGTGTATGTGTTTGCTTAACGAGATTAATTAGCTTTCCTACACACAGCCACATGCTCTCCAATGTCGCTAATGTTGGGTATTTTCCGTTAGAGAAGGTCGTTCGGTCGTAGAATCGGGCCTATTGATGGTCGTGATGTTTTTAGCGAAACTTCCAGTAAGGTGTAGTCGTGCTGCTGCACATGATGTACACAATAAGCTTAGGCTTGGGAGTTAGGGCCACTATTTGTCAACCAGTTAAAGAACAAGAGCTCTTCTTTTGCACACAATTACTTGACATCGTAGCCTGTGCCTTCCACGGCCCACCCCGCAATAACCCCTATTATCACCAGACCCGTCTTATAGGCGGCTGGGCTGGGATTACATCAGGCGCGGCTGCATAGCCACATCTGAACAAAATTTCTGAATTTAAATTCAATTATTGCAAACAGCCTTTTGTTAATCGTGCATAATTTCAATCCAGGAAAAAACGATTATGCTGCAGAATCCATGGCCAAATTGCTAAGTGCTAATCGACTGGCTTGGCTTTTAAGGATGTGAAATAAATTATGGCCTCTATTTATGATATTTGCATAAAATGCTTTGGAATCAGTATCCACTGCAAATTACCTAATGTGTCCAAGTGGAACTCGGTAAACAGAAATTATGTGCATTGGTGTAATATCACATTCTGTCTCTGGCAATTTATGACCGCCTTGAGTAGTTTGTGATGAATGCGTATATTTACTTTGTGCTTACCTCGATAATTGGCGACAAATCCAGTACCCGATTGACCTGCAGATTTCGTGTACTCAACCAGCATCCTTGAGTTTGACGAACGAAGCATAGGTGGGATGTTTGTTCCGCAGTATCGACCTACAAAAAAGGAAAACAGGCGAAAGTTATTTTACGACATTGGGTAAAAGATACAGTTGCGTGTCGCTTTTATTCGTATGCATATTGAGGAGCAGTTTCGCCCATGACATGGTACTAAAACTGTTCTCGAGAAAAATCACATACAGCGCTACAGGCCTTCTCGGCCGACATATTCGTGCTCAGATGCCGACTGCGGCAAAACAGCACAGATGCAGCAAGCAAACTGTCAAAGTGCGTTTTAGTAATTGTGTCCGTCTATTTTCCGCCGAACTTTGTTACACGAAGTCGATTTTATTAAATACGTCTTTGAGAACATTGCACCACACTTCCAGACATTTTCTGTATACTCATGGCAGATGTCGTGTATAATAGTCGGTTAATGTCACACAATTTTAGCAACATAACTGCGAGGAGGGTCACTTTACACAATCTATATGCTTATATTCATTCTACTCACTCAAGGAAGGATTATTGCTTACTGATGTTATCAATCGGCCTTACTATTAGACTTTGTTTCGTGACGTTGGAGCTCAAAATATAAATTTACCCCTAATTCAACTGATGACGGTAGTTTTAAACCTAAGCAGTCTTTATTGATAAATCGCGCATTCTTAGTGTGTGTCGCGTGAAGGTAATGCAATGTGTATTTTGTTAACCACCAAATAGGATTTTGGGTGTAAATAAGGGTCGAATGGTATGCCACGACTGCAAAACACATTTTTGTGGTCTTAGGTAGACTAAGAAAGACATGGAATAGCTGGAAAATAATTTGAAAAGGACGGTACTTGTCGTTTTCAAAAACCTCAGCATACCAATTAGAGGCGACCCGGAATAATATCCATCTCTGACTTCGACGTACTCATCAGTGCAGTGATGAAGACTGTCTGGATAGACCGCAGTGCTCTGATCGTTGCTTCGCGATCGATTTGTTGGTAAAGACATGTTTAATTGCGTAAATGACAGTTGGATGTATTCGCCACTGTTCGCCAGGATTCGCCACTGACAAAAAAGGGTTTCTGAGCTGGTAGAATTAAAACTGGAGCTCTGATTTCTGTTATAGTGATCCGATGCGCTTTGCCTGTCAGCGGACATCACGGTGGGACGGAGGGTCCCCGACCCGAACGAACCGGAGTGGTCCATTAGAGTCTGCCCACAGGCTGAGAAAAAAATTAAGTCAGATGTGTTAATGTAGTCGCAGCTTTTGCAAACAAACACCAGCCGTCTGTAATACGGGAGCGGTGGTAATGAAGGAGTTTACAGGTGGGGACGGGAACCGTACAGTTAATGAGGTCAAGCAATTGCACGCAAAGAAACTATTGGAAATACGCGTTTGCACTTTGATTGTTTGAGAAATGCAGAACGTATCATTGCGCATTTTGTGCACTCACCCAGATCCTTCATTGAAATGTCATTTTATTGTTCAGAAATTGTGTTTGCGTAATTATATCAAGTAAAATATCAATGAATGTTAGCGAAAATAGACGATGAACTATATTCGTGCATGACTCCGGTTACGCATCTGAGCGGCTTTTTCATTTAAACGATAATAATTTACCCTCGAGATTTTTAATAAGTAGATTAACTCTTACTATAAATTTTATTTCATGTCCGATGTTGACCATGGTTATCAGCCCGCTAATAGAAATGTTATTTTAAGAACTCCAGAGGTTTTATCAATCCCTTACTGCCTAATTAGGAGTTCTGTTCGATTTGGCGCTTTAAACTGCAGTTATAACGCAGATATGGATTCCTTATATATAAATGGGCTGAAATTGTTCTGTCGTTTGGAAAATGCTACCTGATGTCACACAGATGACCAACATGATATGGTCATTTCCAGCTTTAAAAATATGAAACACTACTTGTCGTGTAGTTTAGTTTCCGTGCATTTCTTATTAGGACATAGAACGAGCAACACATTAATGGTTTCAGCAACGTATCAGTATTTATATGGGCGCTCTGCCGTGCATTAATCATCAAAAAACGGAGTCTAACAGCAAGCAAACGCACTGAAAATGACCTGCATGTTTAGAGGAAGACATGTTCTTACGTTTGCGGTAGAAAATATTAGTTTTGCTTAGGAACGTGAAATAAACAGCCAAGATCGTCAAATTTTTGTTTGGCCTCGCCATGCAAAAATGCAAGTACACGTAGATCCGTCAACGGCGTGCGGTAATAAAACACTTCCTAAAGAGGTAACATATGAAGGAATGTTTTTTCATTGATCCAAGGCATATTTTTGGTGACTTATGTTGTGAACAATCGTTTTTCTCGAAAATGAAGTTTGATATTTGAATGCGTCTTCAAATGTGACCCAAACGACCATCTTCATGAAAAGGGGCGCCCGAACACTCACTAATTCGGTAAATGCCTTCAAGAACAATCTTATTTAAAGTTCTATCAGACAGGTACTCCATAATTTATCTTTATAGGCGATACTTCAATGCCGATCTTAAACTCAGCGTAATAAAAATGAAGAAAAAGCTCAAAATAATTTAAAGGAAGAAAAGGTTTCTCAATAAACACAAAACGGTATGTTTAAGATCACGCCTGCCAGATCTAGTTGAATTTATTAGGGATAGACCGGCCTCATGACAGATCGTCTTATGAAAACGTTCGATGTTACGACGTTCCCATTGGTGAAATCAGGCAAAATCCAGCTTATCTTGTTGAATCCCATCTCACTTAACTTAAAATAGTCATGGAAAACACGAAACACTGAAAAAACTGTTTTGGAATCTACACTCAGAATGTAGGCAGTTGACAAACGTTCATATATGAAATTCCACTAATTACTACTACTTAGATGGTAACTTCACTACAAAACTATTATGACAAGTTATTTTATGTCTGCTTTGGCAATGCATTCTCTATATAAAAAACGAATTTTACTCATTTCGAGCCATTTTTGACGTTTTCGGGATATTGCGTTTTTTAAAATAAATCACAATTTCTATGCAACGCAATACTGGCTTTATTGTTTCATCTAGGTTTTTAATTCTTTTAAACTTGTACTTGATTAGCATGGGCATTTGACTCATGAAGGGGTATCGGTTTGCGAGTAATTAACAATCATTCGTAAATTTCGGCACATTTCCTGAGTCAGGTCATTAACTGTTGTTACCCCAAACTCAAACCCTCATCCCCAACTCTAGCCAGTAACCATAACCTCCTAACCTAAACCCCATAACTTTAACCCTAGCAGTATTGAGTTCATCAGGTGCTGCTGCAAAACTGCATCTTGCAGAAAATCTACATGACTAAACGATCTCGCGACCTATTTAAGTAAGTAGTAAAACAGGCCGTGCAAACATTTCTTAGACTGGTAAC